TGCCCTACAAGCTAATCACGTGAGTGATGACACGTGTGACATGCTACACAGTCTTTTTTGTTATTATTATTATGACATGTTCTCACTTTATATTATATGATAAATATATATTGATGCCCTTAGATCTGGGTAATGAGAATTGGATCATGATGAGATCATGATAATGAGACTAATTCACCTATAAACACATACCATAAATATTTCCGATCATAGGTTACTCGAGGGAACATTGAGATAGTCGAACAAGCTGGTGTGCTATATACCCATCCATATAATGGAGGCAGCTAATCTCATGCTTATGTTGGGACACTCGAGATATAGTACATGTTCTTATTGAAGAATTAGTTCATTGAATGATTCGCTTACGAAATGTTAAATGGTTAATAATACATTATCATTAGATAGTAATTTCGTAGTCCTAGTTGTGTATATAATCTTTATACTTGAGACACTAAGAATACCTTGTTTGAGTATTTCATTCTTTATACTAGACTTAGTAAGTTTGGAAATTTCAAATCTGGCAAAGCCGGTCATCGGGAATGGTAGCCAACCTTACTAAGGCAATTGGGTGTCAATAAAGAATCATCTACTCTCGGTATCATAAGAAGAATGTTCCGTGTGTTCTCACTCAAGAAAATCCCTGGCTAATGGATTATATCCCCCTATACCATATATGGACTATGGCGTAGTACGTTCATAATCAATGAGTTGAGTGAATTATTATAGAGATAATAATTTACTGAATCAGAAGGAGTTCTAATAAGTGCAACTTACGACTAGTTCGATATTGGGCCTAAAGGGTCACACACATTGTGGACAACACGATGAGTAGAGGAATGAATATGAGATATCAAATAAGCTCATGTTTTATTAGATCAAGTGAGATCTAATATGACCTATAGTGGTTATCGAATGAACATCCAATATCCATTAAGCCAAGATAATTGGATGGAGATCCTATTGAAAAATCTATGGCGACATCACATGTGCAGTAGAAAAACAGAAACAAAAAATCTCATATTTTCATAGAAAAATAATATTTTGTCATTGTGCGAAGATTGGTGCGTAAAAACCCGTGAAATCAAAAATTATGCGTATAAGAAAGATGTGTTTACCTAAATAGATCGTACATCCTTGAAAACCTGTAAATTTGTAGGAGAGGATGAAGGAGGTCAATTGTCCTCCTCTATAGCGGTGATCCATATGGCAGGAGCTGCGAAGACACTCCTCAAATCGCTGCTCAAATCTCCTCGCTACGCACACCATGCAATCAAGAAGGGGCCCGCCCTTCTTGCTATCCACACACCCCAAACAAGGGCTATTGGCTAAGGAGGAGAGGGGGAGAGGAGAATAGGAGGTGACAGCCAAAAGGGGTCTGACCTATAGCCCTTTGATCCCCTCCTATTTATAGAGGCCCCATATCAATTTAACCATAATGGATCTTGTCATATTTGGTACTTGTTCTCCATTCAACTACACAAGCCACTTAGATTAGTGGGTCTCTACCTAATAATATCTCATTTGGCTCTAATTGGATCTTATCCATATGATCTAATAATTCAGAGGCTTATTGGATATCCAATAAAAGAAGGGCTCCAGCAGATATCTCATATCTGAACATCTACTTGTCACAACACCTACTATATGTGTGTGACCCTCTGGGCCCAATATCAAGCTGGCCGTGAGTTGTACTTGTTAGAATTCCTTCTAGCTAGGTGAATTATTATCTTCATAATAATTTACTCGACTCGTCGATTGTGGACGTACTAGGCCATTGACGATATAGGGGAATCTAATCTATTGGACCTATTATTCCTTAGTTATCGTGTATCTTTAGTCCTTCATCCATCTAATATCCCAAAAACCGTATACCGAGCATGGTTCTATCAGGCCCATACGATTTCTACTTAAGTCTCGCTCTAATTAGATTCTCTCGGAGAACTATTTCTCTTTCAATCCAAATGACACTGGCCATAGATTTGCCTGAGTAAGAATACATAAAATATTCCTCTCGTGACACCGAGAGTGGATAATCTTCTATCGACACTCAATAGCCCTTGTAAGATTAGTTGCCACTCCTGATGATCAGCTATGCTAGATTTGGAATTTCTATGTTTATAAGTTCGGATCAAAGAGTGGGGTACTCATATAAGACATCATTAGTGTTTCAAGTCTAAGGACCAAATACACCATTAGGATGACGAAATTGTTGTCTGATAATGAGGTATCATTAATAATCCAACATTCTATGAGCGGATCAATCAATGAACTCATTCTCTAATGAGCACCTGCACTGTATCCCTAGTGTCCCCAAATAAGCAGCTACGAGACCAACTGTTTTTATCATATGGATGGACATACAATATACCAATATATCTAGTTATCTCGATGTCCCTCTCGAGTAACCTATGATCGAGATTATTTAGGGTCTATGTTTAAAGGTAAATTGGTCTCATTATTGTGATCTCATCATGATCCGATTCTCATTGCACAGATCCATGAACTTCACAATATATGTAACAAGCAATATAAAGTAAAATAAATCAGATAAATAATAAGCAAAAAGAGTGTGTATCATGTCACACGTGTCATCACTCACATGATTAGTTTGCAGTGCACCTATGACTAGCAGATCCAATACCTAGTAAAATAGGATCAATTAGAATAAGTAAAAATAGCTCTCTATATATAGGAGTTGGAGCTTAAAGGAATCATAAGCTAAACCCCTATTATAGCCACCTTCTTCATCTCCTCCCTACTTCTTCCTCTAGCCAATTGCCCCCTTCTCTAGAGCAAGAGGATAGTAAGAGGGATCGATCCCTCCTTGGTTGTTGTAGTGAGGTGGTGTACGAACGTAAGGAAAGAGCATGCTGAGTGAGGAGGTGCGTTATCTTTGCATCCATTATATGGATCATCGCTAGAGAGGAGTTTGCGAGAGCTCCTTCATCCATAGATTGAGATCTACAGATTAGGTGATGTACAATCTCTCCTATGTGAGAACGTCTCACATATCTTATGCGGTTTATCGTTTTCGAGTTTTACGCTCCCGATCTTCACACGACGATTCGATAAATCCATTTTTGGGAACTAGTTATTTTTATTTTTCACTGCGCAAATGATGCTCTCTGTGGTTTCCTAATAGACAGGAGCAGCTACAATCCACCTCTACCCCGAGGTTTCTGAGATGACAAAGAAGCAAACGACCCGAGTTGCCTCACCCGAAGTTCAAGTTGACTCCCCTGAATATGGCTAGAACTAAAATTTTTTACATATAAAAGAGAAGGGACTCTCAAAAGGTCATCAATCGATGAATATTCTATTGGTAAAAAGATATAGATCTAAGTGCTACCGCTTCCATCAAGATTATGACTATGACACAAAAGATTTTATGACTTAAAAGAACCGATTAAAAAACTCATTCATCCGGATACCTCGAGCAATTCATCCGAAGGCATTAGGACCCTTCACCTCGACCTCAAGGGCCGATGAAGAGACAAATTGATATCATCATTGGTGGACCCACCTCAGGAGAAAACAACTCCTCTAGTAGTAAAGCTTATGCTCAAGCTACCATTGAAAAGCGCCTACGAACCGAGGATAACTCAGAAATTACCTTCAGAAAGGAAGAGACAAAGTACCACGACCCGAACCATGATTATATCTTGGTGGTCTCCGTGAGAATGATCAACACTCGAGTGAAAAGGGTTATTATTGATATAGATAGTTCTATTGATATTTTCTATTTTGATGTTTTTTAAAAACTTAGGTTCTCAACTAACGACCTCATCCCTATGACTTCTTCGCTGACGGGGTTCACCGACGACTCAATCTCCCCTCTTAGGATGGTAAACCTATACGTCACGTTTAGAAACAAGTCATACTAAAAAACGATGATGACTAAATTCATGATAGTCGATATCCACTTGGTATATAACGTAATCATAGATCGATCCATGCTGAACAAGCTGAGGGTGGTGGTGTTGACCTCCCATATAATGATAAAGTTTTCGATGAGGACTAACACTGGAGAGCTACGAAGTAACTCGAGAGAATTGCGCTAGTGTTACCTAATGACGGTCTCTCTATCGAAAAAGACACGATTTGAAGCATCGCCTATTGACCCTTGAAGTTTTGACAAAGTCCCTCCCATACCAGAAGTCGATAGAATTACTTATGGAGGCACCGGTGGACAAAGCCTATCCTGATTAAGTTATCAAAGTAAGGACAAAACTTTACGAGGAGAAAAGAATGCAACTCACCAATTTGATGCAAGATGACTTCCCAATTCCTCAGATAATAAAGATAGCTAACCTAATTGTGAAAAATCTCCATATATCTATCTAAATTATCAACTTGAAAAAGTTGAAGCACCAGCAATATACCACAAAAACTGTTCAATATTAAACCGACGATGAATCAAAAATTAGTCCACGGTCCCTATATGTGGTTCAATACTCAAACCTGATTGTGCAACAAAAATCATCACCGTTCAAAGATGGCACATTCAAAATACAGAAGCAGATTCATGATGCAGTCAACTAGACAATAACCATTATCATTCAATTATTTAAACCAAGTTATCTGGAGGACAAACAACAGCTGACATTTACCAATAGATTGCAATCGGCCATCCAAGTCAGATTGAACTGAACTGCACCATGCCAAATTGAATCAAAATGGACAACTTTGCAAGCTTAGCTTGATTGAATTATAATCACTAATGATGCACAACTACCAACTGAAAAACAAAAAGAAACCAAGAAACAGCAAAAATAAGATGGCACAGAGCATTAAATATAAACTGCATAAATATAACTGTAGTGCTCCAACAACAAGTAACCAGTATATGTGACAATTTCTACAAAAGCCCTGGACCTGATTCTTGGATCTCTAGTGTGCCAGACACTTGTGTTCATGTTCTCCAAGTTGATTTCCAAGTCCACAAAAAGATCACCGAAATGGAGATCTTTGGTTTAAAGGACACCACAAATGAGCAAGAGTTAAATTAAGAAAAAAACAATGATATATTATACACAAAATTGGATGCATTACTAACATTATGCGTCATTAGTACAAATATATACAAGAAGAGTCACAATTATCAGAGCTATTATGTCCAATATAGATGGAAATGGAAATAGCCTCTGCAAATTTTATATTAAAGATCCATATTTTGTGGATAACAAGTAGCTCAGTGTAAAGTAAAGAACCAGCTGAACTTTATGAAGAAACTGAATGTGTCGATGGGAGGACCTTCCTCACTCTTGAAAGCTACAAATACAAAAAAAAAAGAAGAAATTCATGAGAGTATCTGACTCAGTAGGGCATCAAAGATAGGACAGGACAGATTTAATGAGATTAAACCATGATAGTAAAAAATTGGTTCAACTTGAGATCCATGAATGTACGAACACTCAGGCTTTTGCAATTATAAATCTTTTGATAAGCATTCAGCCAAACAACTGCTCTATTGCTCATATGAGATAGAACCTGATGCTTAATACAATCAGAAGCATACATAATAAATCATCTTATAAGGAACTTTTGTTATTCTACTGGAGTCATGTGCTTTTTCCAAGCAGCAAATTTACCTGTCTAGAAATCAAATTAATCGAAGAACATGTTATGTTGCAAAAAGAAATACCAGGTGACCTTAACATGTTAAGCTGTGTGTAACCAATTCTTGAACTTTGTTTCCATCTAACATCAGGAAACTTTTTCTCCACTCTCACCTGTTCTGCACATTGTTTGAACCAGGTAGGGCACTTTTAAACAAAAGTGGCTCTCCTTTCCCAAAAATTCTTCAGAGTCCCTTCTTCCCTGGAAATTCTTCAGAGATGGATCTTCTTTGCATAGATTACTACTTATATCTGCTTCCAGGCCTTCTGCTATTTAGCAGACGATCAAAGGTGGTCAGTGCATCATGAAATTTGCGAATTTTAAGAAAACCCTTTACCATGGCAATTTCATTTTCTGAAAAATTAGCCTTCTCCATGACCAGTTCAACAACCATGTTAAGCTTGTCCTCCATGGCCAATGCAATAAGGCCTTCAGCAAGCATTGAAAAAGAAGAAGATTCTGGCAAGAATCCCTTCTCTGTCATCTCCACCAGGAAATCGACAGCTTCTCCAATCGGTCCTCCTCCACGACACAGACCACGGAAGACAAACTTATATGTGATAGCATCTGGCTGCTCAGCCTTCTCTACCATCTCCCTGAAGAGCCTGACAGCTTCTCTAGTCTTTCTCTGCTTAAAGAGTGCCTGGATCACAGGGTTATATGCTTTAGGAGTTGGGACCATTCCTTTCATCTGTATGGTTCTGAGAAGCTTACAGGCAACTTGAGTCCTACCAGCCTTGCACAGGCCTCCTATCAGAGTTCCATATGTAACAATATCAGGTTCACAGCCATTTGATGTCATAGTTTGAACTATATCTGCTGCTTTCTTTATATCCCCTTGTCTGCAATGATGTGTGAGCAACGAATTGTATGTGAGCTTATCGGGTTTCAGTCCTTCGAGTATCATCTGATCCATAAGTTCTGTAGCTTCATCAACCTTATTATTCTTACACAAGCCATCAATTATGGTGTTATAGGTTACCAAATTCCTTGAGACCCCATGCATCTCCATCTGGTGAAATACATCTTCAGCTTCTTCAATTCTCATGTTCTTGCATAGTCCATCGATGAGTGTATTATATGTCACAATGCTTCTAGCACAACCATTTGACTCCATTTCCTTCAGCAAGGCTACAGCTTTCCCTAACTTCCCATTGAAACATAGGTGGTCAATCAGTATGTTGTAAGTAAACTCATCCGGTGGGCATCCACTAATTTTCATCTCCTCAAACATCTGCAGTGCAATTTTGAGACTGCCAGCCCTACAGAGCCCACTGATCAAAGAGTTGAAAGTATATGCATCTGGTAAAAGACCTTTGAGAGTGAGCGCACGAGCGAGTTCCATAGCCTCGTCGAGTCTATTCTCTGCACATAAGGTGCTGATTAGAGTATTGTAAGTCACCATATTCGGCAAGCAGTCTCGCTCTACCATCTGATCCAAGACTGCCATTGCTTCCTCAATCTCCCCCAATTTACATAACCCTGCAATTAACGTGTTATAAGTTACAATATCAGGATCATACCCTTCCTGGAGCATCACATCTAAGATATCAAGCGCATGCCCCACATGCCCAGCTCGGCACAGTCCGTTTACCAGAGTGTTAAAAGTGAAATTATCAGGGCAAAATCCCTTGGTAGATTCCTCTTGTATAAACCCAAGAGCTTCCTCTAATCTTTTCTGCTTGCAGTAGCCATTTACTAAGACATTAACTGTTACATTCGTTGGAGAGCATCCCATATCCAACATTCTGGTCTTTACCCTCAGTGCTGCCTCCATATTCCCCTCCTCAATGAAGCCCTGCATCAGGGTGGTGAAAGTTATCTCATTCGGTGCCAGATCATAGCTGGACATTTCCTCCATCATCAGGATTGCTGGTTTAATCTGATGAGCTTTACAGAGAGCTTTTATCAAAATATTAAATGTAGAAACATCTGGCTGGATTCCCCTATCAAGCATCATAGAATACACCGCCTCAATCAGCTTGATCTTACTTCCCTCCACCAATATATTGAGCAGAAAATTGCAAATAAATGTGTCTACTTCAACTCCAAATTCGTCCATTAAATTGACAACTACATCAGCAGCTTCATCAAACAGTTGAAATCTCGAATAGCTGTCTATAAAAATCTGGAAAGTACCTTGGCTTATCTTGCAGTCTGACGTCTGCATCACCTTGAGTAGAGCTATCATTTTCTCAAAAGATCCTTCCTTTCCGAGCTGTTGAAGGATCTCTTCGTACACGGGAGATGTAGGCGTAAAATGCGATTGTTTTGAAGCCCAATTAAGCAGCCGAACTGAAGATTCTGCATCTTTCTGCCGGCGAAGGATGTCAAGAAGGTCTTTCAGGGTGAAATTGGGAGGGACTTGATGGACAGGATCAAGGTCATAAGCTGTCGACAGTGCCGCGAGACCTCGGAGCGATGCAAACGGCACGAAAGCTGACGGTTTATGCACCAAAGGATGGGATACGCAACTCGGTTTACGAGGAAGAACACAAGGATGCACGAACAGCGTCGAGAAAGCCATTGAGGAAATTTCTCAAACAAGTAGAATGCAACGACAGGTGGTAGGTCAAAGACTGATCATTGGCTCTCGTGTCGATGGGCTCACTCGGAGAGACAGGGTGTCATCTGAAGACGGGTGAGACAGTAGGGGTGTGATGAACTCCAATCTCCTATAGTGGTTGTGAGATGGAACCAGAAAACTCTAAAAAAGGACGAGGCACCGGTGATGGAGCGTGAACTCTGTTCCAGGTAGAATCATGCGCGAGCCATGAGAAAGAAGATGAAGGAGAGGAACGATACAAGAAGTCGACAGGTGAAGGGCGGTGAGGAACAACTGGATGATGGGGGTGAAGAATTGCTATCCAATTGCAGCAGTAAAGATGATGGAAGAAGAAGAATTAGAAGAGGTCATGTACAGGGAATTGGGATAATTCAAGACGACAGTGGCAGGCAGCAAATGTAGTGGATAAACCCCAAGCGCATGCGGCTGGAGTTCTTTGCAGATTTCATTCTACTTATCTTGGACTGGGTTGGAACTCGGAGTTGTGCCTCTTCTGGAGAGGCCTGTGGGCTATGGCAGTGTGTTGTGTACGTTTAGGGCTTGTTCCTGCTGTCCATGTTCTCCTCTCTCGGATGACGTGTGTGAGAATATGCTTTACTTGAATACAAAAAAGTTGCTTTGGATTGATTATAGGGGAAAAGAAGAGGGAACATCTTTCATTTTCTCTCTTTCTTATTGTTGTTATGCCTTTTTGGCGAAGAAAATTACCAATACGAAGAGGACATATTTCTACCGGTAATGAATGATGGAGACTTGATTGATCGATCGATCCGAGTAAGTTGGTTTAATTATAACATTTTTTTTCTTATAAGGTTGTTGTTTTGGTGTTGGCCTATGATTTGACCATGAGCAAAGTCGAGTTCATCAGTAGGTATCTTCTTGGTGTGGACAATAATAGGATAAAAGTAGGTTTAATTATGATGAATCTTATGATAGGATCAATTTTCGAGGCTTGAGATTCCTTTTAAGAAATGATACTAGTAATTCCTTATTTATTAGACACATATGTGTTGAAGAAAAGAGTATCTTCTATTATGAAACTACATGATAATGATACGAGATAGACCCAAGATTCTTCTTAAGTCGGTCTGCTCCTTGAACATTACTAAACTTGATCGAAGATATATGACATATGTCCAAAAAAAAAAATTTATTCTCTTCTTGAATATCCATGTATATATATATATATATATATATATAATAAACCTTGTATACTGACTAAGTTAATATATTATGCTTTTTGAAAGAACAAAAAAAAATCAACGAATACGAAGTATGTATGTGTCGCAACAGGTGATGAGATGCATCACCAAGCTAGCCGGGAAATGCATTGTGCACAAAAGATTGCTGTTCAGGTGGACATGAATCTCCACTTGCTTATGGGCATATTTTTTATCTTGAAACTATCATTCTCTGCATCGAACAATATGAATGGCTCTCGAATGACAAAGGATCATCACACTTTGTCGTGGAGCTTGTTGGTATTTACAATCTTGCACTAGGCAACACGAGCAGCTGGCGGTGTAAACCAAATAAGAAGAGGAGACCGTGAAGAAACAACCAAAGGGAAAGAAAGCAAAGAAAAATAGTGAGAAAGAAGCCAAGAAGAAGAACCTAATAGTCAATGATAGGTTCTCCGATAGTCAAATTTCTCTCCACCGTCCATGGCATGTTGAACAGTTTGGCCGCGATAAACTTGAAGATCTTGTTCACGTTAATGTTGTGGGTGGTGCTGGAAAAAAACAGAGTTGCTTTCATCGCTCTTGCGTATGCTCTGGCCTGTATACACCACACACACACACACAAATCCTTGCTCATTTCTGCATCAACATAGCACTCCAAGGTCACACACAACTAATTTTTGATGGTTAAGGTCATCTCTGTGATCCTACTTTATCCTCAGTTTCGAATCTGAGACTGAGATTTCCTAGATGGAATGCAATGCAGAGTTCATTCATCTGTATTCTATCTGTCTTGATGGAGAAGGCATCATCATCTCTTTGACTTCAAGCAGCCACCACACGTAAAGATGGTGGAAGAAGTTAGGAGAGTAGTGCTTTCTGGAATGGAAACCTGACACTTTTGACCTGGTCATGAAGACCGATTCAAATGATAATCTAAGTATCAGATCTTGGCAGTGCCTATCGAATGATACAGCTGCATTGTCTCCATGAAATCCTATCCGTCTCTATTCTGAGCTACAGCAATCTGAAATGGCATAGTACCTGATTCACGATCGTCCATTGCATTTCAAGAGGAAGCCGAGCAAAATCATCAAATTTGGTTCCTATTAAGATCGGAATTGCCGTCTGAATGAAGCAGACAAAAAAACAGAAAAAAGATGACTCGGTATGATCAGCATAAGCAACCATTATGTAGTTGGTAAAGGGAACAGGAAAACGTCAATACCGCGTTCCATCTCCTTGCTCGATGATGCCAGGCAATAGCACTGAGGAAAAAGAAGCCATGATGCCTCGATCCATCAGTCACTAATGAAATGTATGAAAAGAATAAGAGCGATGATGCAAGGAAATACTAACTTGTTTAGCGTACATCGATTGGTGAGATCGAACATTACAAGAATTGCCACAGCATCTTTGCAGGCAATGGGCACATGATCCAGAAATTGATCATCACCTACGAAATTATTCCAAGCTCAATCAACAAGAACACCAAATGGGCCAGAAAACAATCATCCCAAGATTATTTATATCTGAAGAAGATAAATCTCATCTTTACCTCCTACATCCCATATCCTAAAGGCGATCCTCGCTCCCTTTACTACGAAGATTTTATCCATTAGATTCAGTCCTGCCATTTCTACTCCTCTCTGTTCCTCCACATCGCCCACATACTTCATCTACCACATACGCCAACAGCAATATTAGCAGCAGAAAGAAGAAGGACAAAGTCTCTTGCCGATGATCGAGAATTGCATGTGCATATACCATGAAGCTTGTTTTTCCGATGTCGCAATCGCCGAGGAGGCTGACCTTCAACGACAGCACGTCGGAATCCACCTCCATATCCGTGCGCACCGGCGCATGTCCCGTATCCACCTTTGGGATGTCCCGGGCCACCGTGGGGTCTGGAGCACTTTGGTTGGCCTTAAGCTGCCGGTACCGACCATTCGGGGACGAACAAGAGAGGAGGTGGCTACGCACGGCGTGGAAGAAGCGGCGAACAAGGCGAGCCCACTTGGCTTCGAGATGGACCAAAGCGTGGCTGACGTGAGTCATGGTCATTAGGTGCTGGTGGTGGTGGTGGTGGAGACAGAGGAGGAGGAGGAGAGTTGAAGACCAGACTTGGCCATCAACAAAGGAAGGAGAGGGGCGGCGAGCAGTCCAACGAATGGCTATGTAGCTGTTGGTGGTCTTTTGTTTTCCTCTCCTCTCCCTCCCTTTTGTAATGTGGTGCGCTCTCTTTCTCTCTCTCTCACACACACACTTGGGTGTACGTGGTAACAAGCGGACGGTACGCGAGGAGATGGTTGACCAATCATGAGAGAGACATGATTCGCTGGTGCAAAATGCTAAGCTTCCATTGAGTTAAATGGGTAAAGTGTTGGTGGGGAATTGTGACTGGAAGATGTGCATCGAAGTCGGTGCTGAAAGATACGTATCAACAACATGGAGTTACTCCATGCCCATCTCTTTGCTCTCAAGAAAGAAACATCTTAACAACATGAAACTTACCGCATGCCATCTCTTTGCTTTCGAGAAAGAAACATCTTAACAGCATGAAACTTACCGCATGCCATTTCTTGCTTCTCTGAGTGTGGAAAGCATGGCAGGGGAAATGGATAAGACAAAGATAAGGTTATTTGTATGGATTATAAAGTTATACCTCATGAAAATTTGATGAAACGATATAGGTTAATGGTGTTAGCTATTTACTTAAAAAAAAAAAAAATAGTTATTTAGATGAGGACTTGAAACGGGGATAATATTAATATTATTTAGACTAAGATGATTACTAAGATTAGGAGCTTGACAAAATAAATTCTTAGTGAAACTAAAGATAGAAATGTAATCTTAAAGAGGGAGTTGGTAGTGGTGTGAGGAAGTTCAAAAAATAATTTTTATTGAAAGATTATATTTTAAATATTGATAAAATTATAAAAAAAAAATAAATATAAATAATCTAAAAAAAAGGCTAAATAAGTGATTAATATAATAAGATATAAGACTTATGATAAATTTTATAGTAAATTAGGTATTAAAAATAGTGAAAAAGATATATGTTGAATTGCTAAAACTAAAAAAACGAACGTATAAATATTTAGGTAATATTAGATGCATTAAAGATAAAGATGAAAGAAAGAATACTTATTAATGATAACAAGATTAAGAAAAAGATAAATTTTTTAATAAATTATTTAATTAATATTGCACGTAGGAGTTATATTTAATAATAAATAATAGTGATATATTTAATAATTATATATATTTATTTATAAAAATTAAAGCTAATAAAGTAAAAGAGATATTAAAGAAGATAAAAATAGCTAAGACTATGGGCTTGATGGTATCCCTATTGACATCAGAAAAATTTTAGGGGATAAGAGAATAACTTAATTAATTAACTTATTTAACAATATCATGATATTCAGAAAAATACATGGTGAATGAATTTTTTTTTTAATTCTAATTTATAAAATAAAGGGTGACATATAAAATTATTCAAATTTTATAGGAATTAAAATCATGAGTCATACTATAAAACTTTGATAAATAATTATCAAAAGTAGGATAAAATATGAAATATTTTTTTAAAAAAAATTTAAATTTATGATTGAAAGGTCAATCATAGGAGTTATTTATTTATTATGATAATTAATTAAAAATATATGGAGAAATATGATAGGGATCCTAGAGATTTATTATGGTGGATTCTAGAAAAAAAAAGTATCACTAATTATATTGATGTTATTAAAGATATATATGCTAATATAGTTAGAGAGTGTACCTAGTGAATTTTCTATTAATATAGGATTACACCAAGGATCTATATTAAGTCCTTATCTTTACACATTGATAATGGATAAATTTACTAGTCACTTATATGATAAACCTCCTTGGTATACGTTATTTGCTGATGATATTATCTTAGTTGATAAGAGTTTAACTGAAATTAATTATAAACTTGAGGTATGGAGGTGAGCCTTAAAAACCAAAGGTTTTAGATTAACTAAAACTAAAACATAATATATAAAATATAATTTTAGTGATTTTAGAACTAAATAAGAAAATATAGTTAAATTAGATGTATAAATTTTTTTTTTTGAAGTAAAAGCTTTAAGTATCTTGGATTAATTATTCAATAAGATGAAGAGATCAATAAAGATATTGTTCATAAAACAAAAATAGGATTTCTAAAATGGTGAGAGGTGTTAAGAATCTTATGTGATCATTGGATACTTTTGAGATAAAAAAAAA